GTGGACGAAGGTGGTCTCAGTGCCCTGAGCTGGAGGACCATGACTGCAAGAAAATCCTAGTCCCAGTGGACCCTGAAAATGTGTGGGATCTGCTGATCTAGCTGGATCCCTAAAAATCTATGGGGCCTGATGGGATTGATCTAAGAATCCTCGAAAAGCTGGTTGATGTCATAGCAACACCTCTCTCGGTGATCTTTGAGCAGTCTTGGGTATCCAAAGAGGTCCCAGCTGAATGGAAGCTGGCAAACATTGTCCCAGTTCTCAGGAAGATCAAGGAGGACTCGGGAAGCTACAGGCCTATTAGTCTCACTTCAGTGTCTAGTAAAGTTATGGAGAAGATTATTTGGGGAATTATTCTCTGGACAAACTGTCCAGCACACAGCTGGATAAACACATGAAGTGATGGGTGAGCAATTGGCTCCCAGGTTGAGCACCAAGGGTAATAGTGAATGGGGTGACATCACACTGGTCACCTGTCACTAGTGAGTCACTTGCCCTGATTCCACAGGGCTCCATCTTGGGCTCTGTGCTCTTCAACATCTTCATTAATGACTTGAATGCAGGACTGGAAGGGATACTAAGCAAGTTTGCAGATGACACAAAACTGAGAGGAGCTGTTGACTTCCTCAAAGGCAGGGAGGCCCTGCAGAGAGACCTTGACAAATTAAAGGACTGGACAATCACCAGCTATATGGAGTTCAACAAGGGAAAGCACCAGATTCTGCATCTGGAATGGGGCAACCCTGAATGTATGAACAGAACGAGATGCTGGAAAACAGGTCTGTGGAAAGGGACCTGTTGAGGACCAGGAATCAGAATGGGAGTGGTTCCAGGCGTGGAAAAAGATATACAGCAGGACTTTATTACATGGACTTCACAATTATTATGTGGTTTTAAACATGTACATTGTATGATACCCCTACAGTTGTAATACCCGGGCATGTCCCGGCATGCCTCGAGGTGTCTATTCCCTGCTTCCCTGCTCCTCCCTCTGATTGGCTGAGAAGGCTGCAGAGAGGAGAGAGCTACCATTCGTCCTTTCCTTCCCCAGTTCCTCCCCAGTTCCTCCCTCTTCACCTGAGTCCCTACTCCTGTTTGTTTCCCTGTCTGTCTGTCTCATGCTCCATTCCATTTTCTCGTGTATTCCACACCAGAGCTTATATAAACCCCACACACCCTCATTAAACAGCCATTGCACCTCAAACCTCACTCAGACCCTTTTGTGCACTGTCGCTGCCCTACATTCCTCCCCCCAGGGACTATGGCAGGACCTGGGAGTCCTGGCCAGTGGCCAGTTGAATATGAGTCAGCAGTGCCCTGGCAGCCAGGAGAGCCAACCATGTCCCGGGGGCATCAGGCAAAGCATCACCAGCCGGTCGAGGGAGGGGATTGTCCCGCTCTGCTCTGCACTGGTGGGGCCTCACTTGAATATTGTGGCAGTTTTGGACACCACAATATAAGAAAGTTATTAAGCTGTTAGAGAGTGTCCAAAGGAGGGCAACAAAGATGGTGAAGGGCCTTGAGGGGAAGCCTTATGAAGAGTGGCTGAGATCACTTTGTGTGTTCAGTCTGGAGAAGGGGAAACTGAGGAGAGGCCTCATTGCAGTCCACAGCTTCCTTGTGAGGGGAAGAGAAGGGGCATGCACTGATCTCTTCTCTGTGGTGACCAGGGACAGGACTGGAGGAAAGGCCTGAAGTTGTGTCAGGGGAGGCTTAGGCTGGATCTTATAGGAAGGTTCTTCCCCCAGAGGGTGGTTGGGTGCTGGAACAGGCTCCCCAGGTAAGCAGTCACAGCACCAAGCCTGACAGAGTTCAAGAAGCATTTGGATGATACTCTCAAACACATTATGTGACTCATGGGGATGGTCGTGTGCAGGATTAAGGGTTGGACTTGATGGTCCTTGTGCGTCCCTTCCGACTCAGAATATTCTGTGATTCTGTGACTGAGTCTCAGAAAAACTACCCTAACATTTCTTGCAATGGATGTGTCCGCACATCTTGTGTGAACTAAGGTGTTGGTCTTTCCCAGACTCCAGTATACCCAGACAACTTCAAGTTTTAAGAGGTGGACTCTGATGTTTCTTCTTTCTTTTACTCACCTCTTCCTTTTGTAACATAGAATGTACTGTACCTTTTTATTGCCAGTTTTATAGAGTGGTTTTGACGGCCTATTGTGGTAGGTTGTGTTCATGGACATTTTTTATTTCGCGGCAATCACACTTTTTTTTTCTATGGTTGGTGCAATTGGTTACAGAAGTATGGGGGGGGGGCTGCTTATTCTTTTTTAACACCCTTTAAAAATAAACAGATCTCCATGCTTATGATGTAGCAAGTTCTTGAGTGAATTCAAACTTGATCTTGCACTTTATAGCAGCTAATAGCATAAGGCTGAAACCAGTCTTTTTGCTGAGAGTGGAACTTGGCTGAAAGAGGAAGAGAAGGTGAAGGGTCCATGGGCAAAAACAGTGATTCAGAAATGATCCAGAAACAAACAGGAGAACGCGCTGGAAACTTTTCATGGCTAGGCTTTGCGAATGAAGATTTGGGAAGGGCTCTACCCACATTTGCTACAAGAGTGCTGGTGGCTAAAAAGGCCAATACGAGATAGGCATGTCCAGTTGGAAAAGGCACAGCAGAAAGACTCCTTAGGTGGTATTAGCAAGACATGATTCTTTCTGCATTGTCTTTTCTCCTCAAGAGTGATCCTGTGTTTATTCTCAAAGGGAGAAGCAGTGTTATAGATAGTGTGTCTCCAGATGTCCTGGTTGGACGTTGTTTCAGGGAGTCCTTGCATCTTTTCTTCTGGGCTCCTCTCTTGCGGCAGCCGGTGGCAAGTTCACCATAAAGCAAGATCTTAGGGAGGCGGTGGTCCTTCACCCTTGAGATCCAACACATCCAACACATCCAACACAGCTGTGTTCTTAGTAACATTGCCTCAATACTTGTGACTGCTGCTTGTTCTAGAACAGACGTATTAGTCACATAATCTGACCAGTGGATGTTTAGGATTGTACGGAGGCAGTGTTGATGGAAGCGTTCTAAGAGTCATAGGTGGTGACGGTAAATGACCCATGATTCAGATCCATATAAAAGAGTAGACAGCGCTATGGCTCTGTAAACACTGATCTTTGTACTTTTCTTCAAGTGTTTATTTCGCCAGACTCTTTTATGGAGTTTTCTGAAAGCTCTATATGCCTTTGCTAACCTGTTGTCTATCTCTTCATCAATCTTACTGTCCAAGGAGATGAGACTACCTAGGTAATTAAACTGCTGGACTGATTTGAGCCCTGATTCACCAATGGTGATCTGGGGATGATGGAAGACTTCCTGAGGTGCGGGTTGATAGAAAACTTCTATGTTCTTTAAGCTGACTTCCAGCCCAAAGAGCTCAGCAGCCTCTGTAAAGCAGGATGTTAAATGCTGCAGAGCTGCTTCTGTGTGGGCGACGAGGGCGTTGTCGTCAGCATAAAGCAGCTCACAGAAAAGATTGTTTAAGGTCTTAGTGTGGGCCTTCAGTCGCCTTAGGTTGAATAGGCTTCCATCAGTACGGTACCGAATGTAGGTACCATCTTCATCATCAAAGTCTGCTGTGGCCCTTTGGAGCATCATGCTGGAAAAGATTGTGAACAGGGTTGGTGCAAGAACACAGCCTTGTTTCACACCACTTGTTATTAGAAAGGGCTCAGAAAGTGGCAAGTTACATTGGTATTAATAAATCAATCGGATGGGAAAGAAGCTGCCCCATTCATCATTTGAATATACCTGACCACTGTGAGGTACAGTGCAAGGAGTTTCTTGCTCTGCTTCTAGGTTCACAAGCTTTTCCATTCCCTTAGTAATTCAGCTGCAATTAGCTAATGAGTTCAAAACTTATTCAGACATGTACACAGCCTTTCTGTGATGAAAAAAACTCTCTTTCTTGGAAGGGTAGAACACAGCAACAAAAAATAATCTTGATGTAATGCCCTAATTTTTATGTGGAGCTGTGGCAGTAATAGAGGCAGGCTGCATGTCCAGCTCTTAAAAATGTGGTTACATCAACCAGACTCAAATTGACTGGCAAAAGATCTTGGTTTAAAAGTCCATGACTGAATTTTGAACTTGTGGCAAATAACTGTGTTATCACATCCTAAAAGGCAAGGAAAGCCAGCCTAAGTCACTTGACAGTATACAAAAGACTAGCTAAAAGAAAAGTTTGTAATTTTTTATTGTAGTTTTCCTTCATGTTTTACTTCTTCCTATCAAAGGTCACAAGTATTTCAGAACAAGGCTTTTTGACATTATTTCTAGGAGAACCATACTGGTGCAGACTTGTGCCTCATTATCGTGATACATAGCTCTGCTGAATGTGAGGAACTTTGGTGTTTAGATTGTCACCAACTCAGGGACAGAGGTTGTGAATAGAAATGTTTTTTTCACTACACAGTGTCAGCTTTGACGTTGCAGCTGTTCGGGTTTTGGTTTATTTCTCTATGATACTTAATATTTTTAAATGATAATTTCAAGACAGTCTCATCTACCTAAATCTAAATTATGATGCCTTAAATAATGTCAATTGCCATTAACGTTCTTCTTTTTGTTCAGTCATGGTGTTGCAAAACATTCGCAAGCCTTCTCTGAAGGGGAAAAGGTTTAACAAGGACAACAAATCCCCCAGAAAGGTTGAATACTCTTATGCAGCTTTCTATTGACCATACTCCCTGACTACTTATAACAGAAGTGTTTTTCTGGGAATGAGGATGGAAAACAGCTAGCCCAACAGTGCAGAAGCAAAAGACTGGCTGCTCGTATGGGACAGGATTAAAATAATAATGTTCTCTTGTATTTTAGAGCTTTGAGATGTCCAAACTGTAGACTTCAGTGTGGGCTGAAGTATAGCCAAGCTAGTTTTCGGTAGAATAATGAATGAACCAACTGCTTCCCACCCACAGCTTGTTGATAGGGTCTTTACTCCACATGGGACCACAGGAAGGAATACTCAGAGTTTGTCTGCACCTCACCTTAGACCCTTTCAAGCTTGTGTACCTCTGGAACAAACTGCAGTCTCCTGTAAATTAGGTGTGCATTTACCTGCAAGAGAAAAAACAGTCATTTTAGAAAACAAGAAAATTAAACAACTCCTGGGCAAAAAGTTGAACCTATGTGAACAAACGAAAAAGCAGTGGAACAAGAATCAAGTCTTTGATCACAAAAAATTGGCTATTGTGTTTTCATTTGTCACAAATAAACCTGTCATACCTAAAACTCACTCTCTTCTTATCTTTTTCTGTTTTACATAGGTGTTTCCCCAACAAGGAAAGATCTTCACTCCAGAATTCTGTACATGTTTGAAAAATATTTCCTTCCATTTGGGTCAAAATTATGTATAAATAATCAGAGGACAAAGAAATCTTGTTCCCATAGTACTTACACTCGTGGCAAATATGTGACAGTAATTTACTGTGCTGAAATACATGACTGCAGTCAAGCAGCCTCCTATCCTGGCCTTCCACTTAGATGTCATTAGAATTAAGCTCAGGTCACTCCTTTCTTCCTTTAATTGCTTTGCCTGTGTTATCAGTCTTGTACAAAATAAGCATTCACTTCTGGTCTGTCCCTCCTTGCTTTGCTTTCTGGAGTAAGATACACTTTTACCTTGTACAGTGGGTGTTTTCAAGCTTCACCACCCAAAATATTTTGTATCTAGAAATCTGATGGCCTTCATCCTACTCTAACTTTCAGTAGCCCAATCTAAAGAAATTTATATGTTAGATACATGTTAATGGGGAACAAGCAAAACTTAATTACACCCAATGACCCTTAGTATAGGTTAGACTGACGTCCTCAGGCACATGGTGTGAATCTTGGAGTATCTTGTGCAGGGCCAGGAGTTGGACTCAATGAGCCTGATGTGTGCCTTCCAACTCAGCATGTTTTATGATTCTATGATTATTAAAGTGTAGTTAAGTTTTGCAGTGATGCTAACATAAATTCGAGCAATATATTTCTAAAACCCTCTCCTTTTTCTCCAGTTTTATGTGCTTTGCCATGCCAAGGCTTTAAACAGAGTGCTAGGGAGCATGACACCACTCCAGTAAAGCTTTCAGCTGTAAAAAAGCCCACTACTTTAGCCATGGAGTATCCAGGTCTGCCAGTGCCTGTCTGCTTAAAACTTAATATATATAGACAGTGCCAAAACACTTAACATCTTGCAAAGCTGAGCTGTAGCTCAGTTAGTGAAGTGTCTGCTATCTCACTTAATACAGTTGATCAATCATAGATTTACCAGTCCTACACGCACTGGCAGGACGCCATCCTACATGCATTTCTTGGTACATCCTAGGAGACAGTTCATCTGGCATGCTGCTGTGCATTCACTATTGCCCGCAGTGATTGTGGAAAGTTTATACCTTTGGGGAAGGTTATACTTTTCCAATGGGATGGTGCCAAGACCACAAATTATTATCTAGGTGTCCTGTGGACGAAAGTTACTGAGTATCTAGCCAACAATCTCCAGAGCTGATGGCACTGGGCTGTCTGTCTCAGAATGGGTTTTAAAAACTCCAAAGACTTGTGTCAATTTTTTTTGCCTGACATATAATACTAAGGCTTTTAATGGAACTAGATTCAGCTAATATTGAACAAATTATACCAGGTGGGTCATTGCATAGGTGTTGCCACTGTGTGCATGTTGTGTAGGTACACCCACATATTGTACCTACTGTATCTGTAATTGTACTGCAATATAAAGTTTCTCTTACCAGTGCTCATTTTAGGCAGAAACACTGGGTAATTTACATGGCAAATATGGGGTTTACCCCATTAGGTTGTTTAAAATGCTGAGATTAACTCACATGTATGCTGCTTTTTTACTACGATTACAGACTCCTGATATTAGCAGTTTTGAATCATTAGTTGCCACAGTTAATAGATAGATATCTATTATTTAAGTTAACACTCATAAATTTCTCCTTTTCAGAGTACTTCAAAACAAATTTCAGTTTTATAAGCTTTTACGAGTAATTTAAGAATTGTTTTCAATAGAACATTTTATATATGCCATTCTATAAAAAAGTTGTTTAAGAGTATGGGAAAAATGTGGTACAAGAGAAATGCAAATCTGCGTAAGCCTCATTGTGATTTAACCCTTTTAGAACTGAGAGTAGCATAAAGGGCTTGACTTTTTTTTTTCTGTGCAAATGTATATAGACTGCACACAGTCTAAACCCCTCATTTATACTACAGCCTTGACAAAAAAGTGTTCAGTTAATCTACAAAATGTAGAGTCATCACCTCAAAAAACTAATTCAATTCTTTAAAAACCAGGAGGAAAATAAATATGGTGCAGTAAAATTGTTGAGTAGAGGAATCTATCTGGACATTTCACAAAACATTTCATTATGCTGATAATTCCCAGAAGTGCTCTCAAGAGTGCTTTAAGCTGAGGATTACTGCACAGGATCTGATGGACTTTTTTGTAGCTCCTTTAAAAGGCAGTGAACCGTTTTTCTATTTTATTTAAATAATGCCCCTTAAAATGGATTTTTAGAGGTATAATAACTCCTTAAGAGTCAGTTATGCTAAACAGTTTCTCTTGATAGAAATGTTGTAAAACTCGTTAACTGCACAATTTCAGATGCCGGCTTGGTGAACACTAACTGACATGTGAATGGCCAGAGTTTGTAAAATAAATTGAAATAGTTGTTGTATCACACAGCTAGCAATGCACGAGCTGTAAGTCACAAGGGGCTCGAACCTGACAGAAAATTACTTCAAGATGAATGAAAAGTGCTTGTTTCTCTTTATTAGTTTTTAAAGAACAGTGAAAATGTTGAACTGTTTACAGAAGGGTTGATTAAATGTGGCCAGTAGGGCCATGTCCTTACTGCTAACTGTTAGCCTTCCCAGCACCCTGCTCCTTCCCTCCACCCCATGCATCTTCTTATAGACTATAATGGTCACACATCTGTGTGTGAAATGTGCTCATTTTGACATTCCTCTGCTGCTCTGAGCTGTTGAGGCCTTTGTTAGGTAAAATACTGTTGTCAAGCCTAACAAGCAGGTCATGCAATTTGTTGGACACTGCAGCAGAGAATAGCCCTGCTATTCTGCATCTAACAATGCTTGGTTCAATATCGAAATACATATGTATTTTTTTCCTTTGTTCAGCCCTGATACTTTCAATATTTTGAAGAAATGCATATTTTGCAATAAAAAAATTCTGAAATGGGCTTGACATTGCAGCACACTGTCTGTTTTATTCTTTTTTGTTAGATATATTGCAATGGGAGAGGGGGAAAGAGACTTTAGCTGTCCTTTTCTGAGCTAAATTCACTTTCTACGTTGTACTAAAGGCACAAAGAAGAGATGCATCGTGCCACACCATATTCTAGCAGATTATTTGGTCTACTTTCAAAGCAATTCAAATTAAGGCCACTTTAGGAGAAGTGGTATTTGCACAAGATGGTAACAACAGAAAATGTCCCTTTGAGGGAGTGACTTTAAAAACAGCTTAAAGATCAGGTTCATTTAGCAGCAATCAGGAGAATAAAAACCACTGGGTATGTTACTATGGTTGTTGAATAAAATTGTCTTTTTTTTCTTCCCATCCTGTTCCATAGCCTTCATCCCTTCCCCCTCTTCCCCAGAAGAAAAATCAACCACTACTGTGCAAGGGTTTGAATGCTATTTGTGGCAATCTGTCACTTTGCATAGTGTTCCACCCTGATGTGAAAGCAAGATTTTCTTTTTTTCTATCTGCAGAACATGCTTTTCCAGGCCTATTATGTGTATAAACAATGGCATATGTAATTACCTTTCTGGGATGGCAATTATTTCTCTGCATAACAACTGAAGTTAAGGCAATTGATCCTGCTGTCCTCCACCTCCAAATAAAGGCTATCCTAAATATCAAACAAAAAAAAATCATTTTGGGATGAAATCAAGGCTGCTTATGTCAGCCTAGTAAGGGACAGATACTATCACTGCAGTCTCTAAATGTCAGCATGATCTTTTTTTTTTCCAAGCAGTAATTGCTTTACATTTTGTTTCAGATTGAGTCATTTCAACCTTTGCCTACAAGCCAGTTTTGGCACCCCACCTCCTTATACTGGAAACTTTTGCACTTTTGCTAGGGCGGATATCCTTGGCAATTCTGTGGGTAAGAAAATACCATACCTGTCATGTCAAAACTGTTGGAGGGTGCGAAACACTGACTTTCTTGTCTTGCTTCAAGCTACAGGAGGTTATTTAAAGTGGTGGGCTGAAAGAGTGAGGGATGGAGAGGTTTGTTTTCCTTTCCCCCATTAGGTCCATCTTGCTGTGTATGATTACAGTCCTCAGTGCTACTGAGGAACATCCGTACCTTCAGCTGGACAGATCTGGACAGATCTGCCTGTGGAGAGATTTGTCATTTTGTCACTGTATCTCACAATTTAACCTACCTCAAGGTTTCCACTATTGCTTTAAATCAAGGGCCTGATCCTACAAAGCAGCATGGCTAGGTTTGTGATTAGAATTCAGGTCAGACTAGACTACCCTAGACCTCTTAACACTGAGCAAGGATGGTCCCATTCCTGGTCCTCCATTCAGAGACCCTGGGATGCTTTTTGCTTCCTCCAGTGAAAGCCATGGATGGCTAGATATCCAGCATAGGCAACAGTGCCCCAGCAGCAACCAGGAACTGTAGTTGATGTAATTCAGGCTCATTAGAGCAGCCTCATCATTAAGCAAAATATCAATGCTCACCCATACGTTTACAGAAACAGCCTAAACTACTTTTTGTACCTGGAGAAGAGGAGGGTATGGTAATGGTGCTACAATGAAAGTCACATGGCAGTGTGTGGTTCTTCTTCATTGTTGCAAATAGAATTTACAAAATGCAAAATCTGTTTATGAGCAACAACATATGCATATTTAAACATATTTAAAAGGCTGTCTTCCATCCTGAGAAATCCTGTATTAAGCTTAAGCAAGGACTTTTCTGAGTCTTTAGTATACACTTAATTCTCAGGAATTAGGGCCAAACTGGAGTGGATTTGTGCAAAAAAATTTGTGGATTTTTGCACCTGACAATATTGTCATCAGTGTGCCTAACAAGGTAGTCCTAAATGACTACCCCAAAGGAAGGGTGTTTTAGTGATGAATGCTTCATTCTCTTCTACTCTGTATGCACTGGGAGACTAGCTCCATGAACACCTTTCGTATGTTGTGTGCTTATAAAAATTAAAGAACAAAGGGAAGAATAGGGCCAAGAGGAAGCATACACAAAACATAAACTTAAAACCTAAGTTTATGGCATATATACAGACCTTTTATTAACTGGCACACACCCCAATTTTCCCTTTATCTGTCAGAAAAGACACTGCACAGAAAGAAAGAAGTAGATGAACAGGTTAAAACTTTCCTTTCTTTCCCTTATCCTCTCCCGTTCCTTTGTTGAAGGGACAGTAAGTAGCAAATATGCATAACTACGTGCATTCTCCAGACCAGGGACAGCATCAGCATATTGACTGAACTGAATGCTGTGAGTAGATTTCCCGAATTTATATCTAGTGATGGTGTCAACAGAAGGGAATAAGAATTAATAAAAGTCAGTCAGTTTGTTCTGTCTGGTAATGGATAAAAGAGAAACGAAAATCTCCAACAAAATGGAAATCACAAACAGCTCTGCTAGGGAACAAAAACATAGCTTTGAAACCTTTCTTTCTTTTGCTTTCAGTAGACATGAACATAAATCATAAGAGCCAAAACAGGGGACATATTAATCCTGACACCAGGATCTTTCTCTAACTCTCTTCCTTGCCAGTTTGAGTAGGTGGTTTTGCAGTTATCTCAAGCACTGATTCCATCATTGCTTCAACAGTTAATGCGCTTTCTCTACGAAAAAACCATTGTCTTGAAGACAGTTTTGAGGGCCATGTTCACCTCTGCATCTGTGCAAAGAATATCTTCATGAGGCTTGATCTAAGGTCTGTTAATGGGAAGGAGAAATAGGGTATACTGTGAGAGGATGACAACACCCTAAGGTGGTGGTACCAGAAGCTGGTGTTACTTGGCATCTATCTTCATTTACAGCTCTCCTTTTCTATACTTTCTTTCCTAAGAGGATCTCAAAACACTCTGCTTGCATAAATCATGAGTCCTAGCCTTATTCTGGAATGGAAAAGTATTATTAAAGTATATTAATATATAAAAGTATGTTAAAACACTTGTTTTAGGGTTAATACACTGAAATGCAGAAAAAAAATGTCATTATCAAGAATAACAAAAAGTTGTTGCTAGAGCTGAAAACAGAACAACAGATCTAGACTACAGATAAACAGATCCCCTCCTTTTCTGTTTCGTACTGTTATGGGTAGAGAGTAATATCCAAAGGTCACTGAGTTATACTGTTCCTATGTATTAAATCATACTTGTTTGCAGGATCAAGATACAGATGTGAAGCCATCCTTCTCCGCAAAAAGATGTAAAATACATGATTATTTTATCTGGATTGCTTTTTCCTAGGAAATTTGGTCAGAAAGAGAAATTAAAAGCTCTAAGAGATCTGAGAGGTTCAGGTTCTGAGACCTTTTTAATAGAAAACTGCTTGGGAGCTTTGTATTCAATATTATTCATTTTCCTTTGTGAAGATGTGATGGTTTATCTCCCCTAATCTGTCCCCTAAAACTGGGAATAGATCCAGATTTTTTTTAAGTAGTATTGTTCTTTGCCCAGATACATTAGGATTATGCCGTTTTTTCTGGTAAATAGAGCAAATACTGCTTCTCACTTGTTTTCATAGTTTCATCTTCCAGAAAATACCATCGATGACAATAATACTGTCTTTCTGTAAGACACCAGGACTTCTCCTACTAGGAAGCCCCTAATAAGCACAGACACCTTGCTACTTTTATTTCATCTCAGAGTATGTCCAATTCAGCAGTCACTGAATTCAATCTTATCTGATCCGATGGTGGGCTTTGACAAACTGCATAAACCTGTCATTGAGGGGAAGACATGTTATAGTTACTAGTCAGGATGTTACAACTTTCCTCATTGTTTATTGCAGATGGGGTAAAATCGCACAATCAGAGACAAAGATGAAAGTGAGGTTAGTTAAACACTGAGCTATTTTGTGCTGAAAAAGAGTGATAGTATCAAGCCAACAGTTCAAAGATTCAGTGCAAATACTCTTTGGCTGTTTGGTTTTTCAGTTGTAACACTGGTCAGTGAAAAGATACCAAACATCCATGTAAGACAAACTCAAATTTTGCAGAGGAAAGCTACACATAAAAAATGGTCGCTGCTCCCTCATGCACTGATACTTAAAAATGTAAACCTTTTTGACCACTATAAACATTATTTCTGATTTCCTTTGTCTATAAGTTGCAGGTGGTTTATGTCTTCCCATGACCCTCTTATTCCAGTTTTCTTATCAGCAATTAGTTACACAGTAATTCAAATCCAATTTCAATATTGACTGCTAGGCTGAAAGCTCTGTGTCAAATTCTGGCTCTCTAGCATTTTCTGGTTCCATTAAGAACTTATGAAACATTAAGACTTAGGAAAAAGAAGGGAAAAAATATCTAGGGAGTGATGTTAGTGAGTCAATTATGCTTATGTTGCATGGTCCTCTAAGGTCACATTAAACTTGTATTGCTCCTAGTACTTAAAAAGGAACATTTCTATTAAAAATTAAAGCAGGTGAAGAGCGTCTATAGTGCATAAGATAAAATTTATGTTTCTTGTTTCTATCTGGCAGCAGATCACAGCTTTGTCCATCTGCACAGAGCATGTATCCCTCCTTGAACGATTTCACCACCATTGCTAGGCCAACACTAAATAACCTTCTTTGGGACTGATCTTTACCTGTTTCTACAGGAAAGCCTTACTGAATCCCAGTGGTCACTTGGCCCCAGCTGGAAGGATGGTACTGGGAGGAACTGCTTTGGTGATGCTGTATGGTGGTGCCTTTCATCAAGTGCGAGGCCAGCCCTGGCCAGGTCAAGCTCAGAACAGGATACATGATGATATGAGGTCACAGGTTCAGTTGGAGTGACATAAGTGATGAATTCTTCCTCTAGGGTTAAGCACTGCTTCCAACTTGGCCTTGACAGGACAGTGAAGTGTCTCCAGTCAGTTCCCGTGTTGTAATCTCCTAGAAACAGAGAACAGAAATCTTGATCCTGTGTTTGTACAACAATCAGCACAGAGAGATGCTGTCCTCTGGCTGCGGCACAGTGTCCCACTTGAAATATTTAAAGTAATGCATGAACACCCAATACTGAACTTGCCAGTATTGCAGAAAACTATCCCTAACAATGGCCTACAGTCCATAATTAAAAACCTATTCCACTGACAGCTTAAATTTCTGCTTTGGAGAGTAGCCAGGGAAAAGCTCCACTGCATCAGCAATTTGTCTCCCTGCTCTGTATTGCAGTTTTGTTTTGTAACAGATACTTATGACACAGATGCTTATCGAGAAAAGTGAGCTGGTGGATGTACTTTTGTCTTCTACTCTTGCAATCATTTTATGCCCTGCCCAGAGGTACCTTCAAAGAGAGTATTCTTTTGCGTCCACTTTACATCCCTCCTGGTGAATGCTCTCTAGTGTGGTATGAACAATTTCTCTGGTGTTTTCTTCTGATCAGTCCTATTTTGGTTAAATGTGGGACTAAAATTTAAAACTGTTCGGGCTGATGATGATCGGTGTATGGAAAGAATCTCATATTCTTCTATTTAGCAACATCACTGAAGGTGATAATGGTATGTCATAGTCTTGTGTGCAGCTGCTTGACAGGTGGCTAGAAAAATAAGCTAATATTCTGATATCACTTGTAAGGAGAAATAATTGATTCTATCTGGCTTGAAAAACACACCCTGCTTTCCTTTACACCTGGGTATTTATTAGGGTTTTCCCAAATTATTCTTGTGTCACTAATGTAATCTGAAAACACTAGAGTCACTGTTCTGCATCTGGAATTACATTGATAATAAAGTGAAAAAAATCAAACTGATCTGAATTGTATATGTACGTACATTAAATGGTCTGGCTGAGATTCTTAGGACAGGTCTGCTTCCCCAAATTTTTCGGCTACAATTCTGCTACCTGTGAGCCAAATCCTACTCTCACTTTTGGATGTCCTTGTCTGACAGGCTCACAACTCTGACATTTTTGAGAGAAGTTCTGTATTAAAAGTTTCTGTGTTCCCAGAAAACAGTACCTTCCTTCTCCTGTGAAAGTTCATGTTCTCAATGCATCTCATAATGCCAGGCATTAAGAAAAATATACCAATATCGTAAGACCACACCAGCCACTTGGGTCTTGAGGTTTTAAAGATGGTAGAACCTATTGATCTGAAGAGATTCTAGGTGAAGTACCAGCCAAATAAAGATTCAGGAGATTATTTTTTTTATTGTTTGAGTAGACAGTTTGACAAGGTGTAGTTCATTATAAGGTTTGTCAAGTAAACAACCAGCAAATTTTTGAGTTAAAATTATGAAGGAAGCAATGATAACAATTACTAATTCCCTTGTATATCAGAAAAGGTCTCCAGTATCAGCCATCCTTTTTTACTTCCTGAGAATGTACTCAGCGTTTCCTTTGACCCTGGATGTCTCTCTCAGTTTACAAAAGTAAGTCTAGGGCCTCCTTCAGATGCTGAAGTTGTGCCTAATTTTACCAGTAGAGCAGGTTGGGCCCTTTGGTAGAATTTGCTCTGCCATCCCCCACAAGGCTTCCAGGATTTCTGCCCTCTTAATACATTCCTCATCAGGGGCAGGAGGCTCAGGATCTCACTGGCACTAGAAGCCATAAAGGTAGGTCCTGTAACAGTAACAGCAAGGCAGAAACGGGTACTTCTCAGATGACACCAAAAAGGTAATTTTATTTAAGAAAATATTCATTCATAATTGGGCCTCTGTCACTTTAAATTTTAATGGTAATAGTACTGAAACTTTAAATTACAGTTTTCAATGGCTTCATACTGAATCTCTCAATTACCCTTTGTAACTCCCTTCCCGGAGCATGTGCACTGTGACATTGATATTGCCATTTAAATCAAAAATTACATCTGTGTACACCATGCAGGGATCCTGCCTGTCTCCAATGCCAGCAAGTGGGCAGATATATGAGGAGGTATCACTGCCAGGTCTGAGTCAATCCTGGTAGCCTCATAAAAAAAAATTGTATGTTCCTGGCATGGATACAGCATCCAGCCAACCCAGAGGATGGGCTGGAGGATTCTTCTGCAGGTACAGCCTTTGGTGAAAGGACAGGCATCCCTGAAAGAAGCAAGACAACCCTGACAGTGATTATTATTGCAATTATTATTGCAGTAGCTGTTGAGGTTACCATTGCACAGAGATGCTGGAGCAGCCAAAGATGGCAAGGTGTCTTGCAGTTGGGATGCAAACGGAGAGTGGGCAAGTATTTTCCTTCAAAGAGAGCGAAACTATATGGAGTGACCCAAAAGCATGTGGAGAATTAAGAGTGGAGAAAGTTTCAGGTGTGTCACATTCTGATGTAAATTAGGCCCATATTATGGATTTTGTCATTGTTACTGAAAGCTCTGTTTTTATAATTAACCTGCCATTGTGGTACTTTTGCATACCTGGTGCTCTGTCCCTTCATCTGCAGCTCCAGTCCTGAGGGACTGTGCTTGGCCTAGAGACAAGCACAAAGCTGGTAAGGAAAATGCTCAGTTCCATGTGACCAGAAAATACACTTTTAAAGCCAGGAATGGAAGAAGGTATCAAAAATGATTGCTGTAAAACAGGTTTTTACGAGTAACCAGCTTTGAAAATGTATGGGATTGCTGCTAAGGAAAAAGGCAAATTTTGTGCTGGTTGTACCCTACATTGATGGAAGCTAGAAGACATTCAGCCTGCAGCTTACAATGAGTGGGAGACCACTTTGTCCTTCTAGTGACCCTGTCTAGATAACTGGAAATCTTCATACGGTAGCTTAAATCCAGCTGAGACTAGGCTCCTGTCTATTCCCACTCCTAGCCTGGGTGAAAAGCACGAGGATGGAGGTCACCTAAACTACTCTGTTCATGCAGCTCAGAGCTATCTGAATCATCCAAGCTTTCATTTTAAACAAATTAAATGCCTGGCACTTTATGGTTCCGAAGAAACCTCCTTGATATACGGGTGAAGAATGGAGCCACTGAAAGAAGTGTCCACTGCAGATCGAGCGGGAAATGGCAGCACAGAGGAATGAATGCTTCGTAAGATAAACAGAAGTGCAAGGGATGGGAAATTTTTCACATTTTATTAAATCAGACTTTTACAGTAGTTGTTGAAAGCAAAAAACACTGAATTATATTTAGATAATAGTTCCATAAATAATGTGTGTTTTCACAGCAGTTGCAAAGTCTGGAATTTATGTGCTAATTACAGACCCCAAATCATCTCTGCACAGATTTGCAATTAAAACTGAAATATTTTCATATACAATGTGAGCCCTGTATTCATAGCAACAGCTAAGAGACATGCTGGTTACAGTTTCCTCAGTAAATATGAATATTTTATGTTTGAACACAATTGTTTCACTATTGTTTTCCTTACGTTTGGTATATTAAAAGCTGGAAGAGTTTGAAGCTGAGTGCCACATTGTGGATTGTTATTCCTTTTAGAAAACATATTCTGTATATAGTAAAGTATATGTTGCAACATATACATATATATATACACATACTTGCATATACATATGCAAGTCTAGGGGAATGACAATTATTGAAAGACTCATAGAAAGAAAAAATCTGCATATGGTTATCTTCTTAATAAATATTGTAAAAATATATACTTTTAAAACCCTGTAGTGACAGCAAAGTGCAGGAAGAATACAAAATTAGGGAGAATATTGAATAATTCAGTAGCTTGTTATGTGATTAGGTCTGATTGGCCCATACTAAGATGCTGCCCATGAAAATGATTTCCCATGGTAGTATTGGTCTTGGGGTGGGGGCTTATGATGTCCATAAAATGGGAGAACAAGACTTACTGGAACTAATAATATCATGCCTGTGCAGAATGATTGATGATCTTTAAAAAGACCTAGATTGGTTTCATCTTTCTTCAGATTTTATCACTCACTCTTTCTTAGTCACGGGCAGTCACTAAGGCAAAGAGAGGTAACAAGTGTTTGATGTATAATACTTGAGCCACTTTTGTCAGAACTGCATTTATTTTAAACTGGTCTTCTATTTGATACTCACAAGATGTAGATGTTCTTTATTTTTTTCTCCAGTTGATAAGAACAGATAGTCCTGGGGTTGGATCAAGGGGTAAGCCAAGCTTGCACTAAAGCAATGGTGCCAAAAATTGCAGTAAAAATTAAGCAGATCCTCCTTCCTTGCACTGGAACCATTTCCATTACTGATTAAATGGATATAGAGATGCACAGGACTGACATCTTGGAAGAACGTCCTATCCTTTATTATTTGCAATAGGCACACACCTTTCAGAATGCTACTTAAGCTTCTTAGAATACATTATGTGTTTCAGTTCACTTTCTGCTTCACAATCTGCAGAGAGCCACTAAAGCTTCTTTTATGTCAGAAGAAATTTCAGATGAATATGAAAAAAACACTTAATTTAACCAATTGGGGAAAAAAGGAGTCTTATCCACTTGTTTCTAAAAGCCTACACATCTCCTCAAATATGACAAATCACGCCAGATATCTTAATCATTTGTTGTAACCATCCTTATCAGTAACTTATTCATAAAAATCACAGATGTGTGAACTAAAAAATGTTTGGCAGGGTCCCAAAAGGCAAAGAAAGAGTATGAAAGGGTTGATCAAGTAGCAATGCGCTGGAGTCATGCTCATTTGCAAAACTTTCCATTATCCCCATTTGTTCTAACAGAAATAATAAAAGAAAAAAATTTGCAGGACAACAGGTTTCTGAATCCCATCACTGATACACACACATATTTTTGTATGTATAAGTATGATTACAAGACCATGTGCATGTGGGATACACCTGTGCCATACACCTGTACTTGTGCATGGCTGCGCATATGGACATGCAGATCCTCTCACTTGTGATGTTTTTGTCTCCTATAGAGTCTAATGGTTTTTTGTTTTGACAATTTAAACAGTGACTCAACACTGTTTAACAAAATCAAGAGCAGTTTTGGCAATTAATTTC